TGCAAGGGAAGGTGCCCTAGTGGAAAAAGACCTGTTAGCCCTGTTCTTCCTCAATATTTCCTATTTTGGTCCTGGTCCCCTCTAGCTTGCCACTTTACCAGCTCGGTTGCACAGACCAGCTCCAGTCTCCTCACACCTGATCCCAGCCAAGCCCCAGCTGCGAGTGACCATCACTACAGATTGATGTTTTACACTGTAACTGCGGGGAGCAGTTATGCCAATCCGAGCACTGTGATATTAATCACAAGAAAAGGTGAATTAAATAAAAATGAGGAAGCCAATAAAAAGGCTCTACAGGTTGAAAGCGAAGCGATTACAGCTGTTACGCCAGACTGGAAATGACAGAAGTGTCTTGCAAAAGAGCCCCTGCCTGTGCACCCACATCAAGAATGGCACCAGGAAGGTAGAGCTCCATAGGCAGAAGTCCATAAAACTATCTGGAGGAAGGGGATCCGTAAGGGGATCGGTAAGTCTGTCAGTACGTTCACAGAGCTCTGAAGTTCACTTTCTAGCCTCCAAAATGCTGCATCAATTTTAAGGCCATACCTACGACTCCCCCCAAACTGTGAGCACGTTTTCAAGGAGTTTCTGATCAATGCAGTGTCTTCAATACCTGCATGCAGGCTTACACCATACAGCTTGCAGAGCTCCTGGCTCTCAGAAGCACTAAACGCGAGCAGATTAACAGTGAAAAACGGTCTCTGTGAAGAAATGAGAGAAAAGAAACTGGGCTAAAAAGACAGGAGTTGAGGAAGCTGGCAGGGATTGAGAGGACTAAATTAGGTGAAACAAACAGTGATGGAAGATGACGGGGCAGAAGGCGCAGAGAGAAGACATCAAAGGCAAGAAAGAGTAAAGAAAGCAGGTTTCAGGAAAAAAAAGAAGAGGAAATGGAGTTGAAATGCATAGGACAGATTGCTGAAATAAACAGTATGAGAGAGAGCAAAGCACAAGAAGACACAAACTAAAGAAGGGGAAGAGGTACAGCCTGGGAGGCAATGAGAAGTATGAGATTCAGAGGAAAATGGGATGGAGGCAGCAGCTATAAGAGCAAATTCAGTGTCTTAATCTTCTGCTCCCACAGTTTCACCAATTTCCGAGTAAAGCAAGTGAAAATAGTGACATGGGCCTAACCTCAGCGTACACACATGAAAAGATTAAAAGACAGCAGCAGTGAAGACGACTCAAGGAAATGAGGTAAACAGTCAAGAGAAAGGACACTTTATGGGGAGACAGCTAGTACTTCATGACACACCAATTAGCAGCCAATAAAGAGACAATAGAGATTTAAAAAAATAAAAGAAAAAAAAAAAAAGAAAAGCAAGCCAGAGGGACCAGACTGCTGAAACAAATCACACAGTCTTGACTCCACCACAGGAAGGGTAAGGCTTAGGCTGAGGAAGGTCGAATGCATTCTCTCTGCACTCAGAGAAGAAACACCACCACTCGTTTCTTTTGAAAAAGACTCTATCTGAACAAATCAGATGAGCACACACCAAGCAACGACAGTGCAAGAAACCTGTATTTATGACCAGGGAACGGAATTGGAAATTTCCTCCCTTTTCTTGGCTCCAAGCAGCAATATAACCCCATGCACCAGATGTAGCTCTCACCTGTTTACCCAAAAAAGAGCCATTCATAGTTCTCATACGGGAAGTGTAAAGAAGTACAGCAAAGCCTACGAAATAAGATTCTCAAAAGTGACTAATGACTTTGCAGGATTAGCTGGGGTGACTAATTTTCAGAGTACACTCCTTCTGAAAGACTAGGTTGCATTAAGCTGTTTTCATGACGGTATCCAAAAACGTGCAACTGCAAGTTTCAAGAGTTACTTCTGAAAGTACTGGCCTTGGAAGATATATCTGAAGTATTCTTGTTTAAAATCAGATCTTCCTATTTTAAGCTTTTCCTCTTGCATTCCCCTCAACCCACCCCAAAAAACAGCCCAATCCAACTCCTGCCACAAAGTGTGGAAAGATTCTCATTAGCCTCAGTGTGATTTGGACAACACACTGAACATTACTCCACACAGGTGGGACAGACATCTACACTCTGCTAGAAGATGCTTGAATCAAAGTACTTACTATTAATCTTAATGAGCAGAAAACACTAAATAGAAGTAGACTCTACCATTTTTCAATAAGCAGATAAGCAATGGCCTGTAGTATATTGACATAACTACATTAAATTAAAAAGTCTTATCTCTATGACCATCAACTATGTTAAAGAACAATGATGCTCCTCATATAGAAATCAACAGCTGGTCACAGAAATATGTATCTGACGTTCTATATGTATACTCATTCGGAGCATACACATGTATGAACAGGCACATAACCTGCCAGTTTTATATAATATATAAACCACAAAAAGAATATAATATAGCAGTCTCCATTATAAACACTTCCCCTTCACAATATGCATGCCTCGCACTGAAATACATTAGGAGAGTGTTGGGCTTGAGAAGTCGAGCACTGAAAAGTTAGGAAATGTCAGAATCGGGTTAGTTGTACAACCTTGCATTAGTTCTCACTGCGTGTATTCCACACGGTCTACACTTGCATAATCCAAGCAATTTTTTTTCTACGGCATGCTTGTTTCATTCAGTGGCTACAATTCACAATGCTCAGTGAATGAACAACTATTCAGTATTTCACTTTACCCTCATCATTCGCTATTCAAACTTTTCTCTGAATACAGAATTATTAATTTGTCCTGGGGCACTCCTTGTTACCGTATCTAAGAGTTTTCAAATCACATCTCCACATCACCCTTATGAGGTGAGGAGTTACTATTATCCCCATTTTAGTCAACTGAGGTCAAGAGTGCCCTTGCTCAGGTGCCCATTATCGGTTTTTTCCAGACAGCTCAGGATTTCAGAGGGGCCTGAACAACTTGTTCACAGCATCACTCTCGTTGACTTGCTACAGCTGGGTGCATTCCAAACTTCCAGAAACCAGCCCCCAAGAATCCCAAGGTGAAAGTCAGAAAACAAGGAATCTGCCTCCTCAAGTACACTGGGTTCAAGTTACCTTCCCAACATCATAGAGAACTGATGATACAGGCAGCAAGAGATTTTGGTTCTGCAAAAGCACAGGCAGCTGTCATACCTACAGGACTGCCCTGCCTTTTCCTGCAGTCCTCCATCTAATTCACTCTTCAACTTCTGCAAGACATTAAATAAGGTCCCACGGGTAAGACGGCCGCCTGAGCTACAAAACCCTGTCTCTCGCCCTGAAAACTCTGTCCCTATCTCCTGTCCTTCGGCTGGTTCTCATGGCCTAGACACGTTTTTGTCTAAGTTCACGTTGCAGTCTACCTCCCTGCCATCTACCTGGAGCATCTCTCCTCCGTGTTCCAGTGGGGTAGCTTCTTCTCTTCTTCCTGTTTGGGTATCATCAGCAGGACTAGTGTGAGCCCAAGAGAGAAAGTTTTGCTTTCCACTACTATGACGTGTACCAGAATGAGCCCTGATCATTAGGGGGGCAACGGTGAAGGAAAGTTTTGCCGTGTTGTATCCACCTAGACACGTTTTTCTGATATTTACTAACTTTTCGAACTTTGAGTCTCTCTAGTGATGCTTGTGCTATTGGTACAACCTGGCTTGTTTTGAATAGATTGTTTCAAGGGGATAGAACCTTTTTCCCATAAGACACTTTTTAACATGGATAAAACAATGCTTCATCCAACCTAATTCTGAGAAAGTTGAACAGTTTTTTTTCTGAAGTTCAAAAAAAAAAAAAGTAAAATCCTCAGGCAGAGAGCCAACATGGAAAATTCCAGCTCAAACAATTAAATACCAGCAAAGTTATAAAGACTTTGAAAACAGGGGCTTGCAATAAAAAATGCTGGGCAGTTCCAACAGTTGTTCCTGTCCGAGTTCCCTATAGCATCCCTCCTATAATGGAGTTTGGCATAGGAAAAACTTTAAATAAATGAACCAGTTAAAAAATCCAAAGAGAAATTTATACTAACTTATAGTTACCTAGGAAAAAGTTAAATATAAAATAATCACATCGTTGTCACGATTTTATCATTATGTAAATAAGACATGCATGCATATATACATATATTTTTAAGAAAAATGAAGAGAAACGTTTGCCAGTTTGTGGAGGGAAATTTTTCTCAAGAAAAGGTATGTACACCACAGATCCAAGACAGTTTAGAGAATGAAATGAGATGTACAATCACTGTCTTCCTTTTCTGACTGTGTGATCCCATTTATGTAAAAAGCAGAATCTGCCCCTGAGGACTAGCCTCTGAAAGATGTGAATCGATGAAAATTCAAGCCGTTCTCTGTATCATTATTTTTCAGTTACATTTACATTCTTAGTTGACACTGCAGCCTCCAATGCGCAATAGTTAGAATCACAAAACCTGCATTGCGAAGGTTTGCATAAAAATTAATTAGCTTTCCTCTCCAGAGAGCATGCATCTTTCCAGGTCACCACTGAGGCCACTGGAGGTGCAACCGTAGCTGCTTGGGCATTGGAGCTCATTGCCCAGCTCCACTTTCCCATCTCACCAGCATAATCAACTTTCGCGATAAAAAGGAATTGTTCCATCGACTCTTTTACAAGACTGTCACAAGCAGCCTCATTCACTGCAGCAACACTTATGAAGCAGCGAGTAGTTTACATCACAGGCTCAGGGAATGCATTTACATTAACTGAAAAAAGAGAAGTAATCAAAAATAGCATAAATTACTCCACTATCATTTAACAAGTAACTTTTGTTTTTCCTCCATTAGAAACAGCAGTGTCAATCAAAGAAGGTGCTCCCAGACCTCTGCCTCCAAGAAGTCTAAGGCACCTTTCTCCTGGCCGTAACAGCAAGAGAAACGGGCTTTAAAAATGTACTGAGGGTACATGACACATTGGAGCACTGGGACATTCAGCAGAGAAAAAAAATATCCTGCAAGGACATGTTCCCCACCAAAGCATAAGCATGTACAACCAATTTTAACTTCGTAAAGTGCCACACTGGCCAGTATTTCTTACATCATTCAGCTGCTTATTGCGGGCTGGGGTGACCGTATCGGTTAGCTGCTTATTCCCCGCCTTTAAAGCTGCATCTCTTCTTGCTTGCTCAAGCAGAACTCTTGCTCGTTCTTTCAGTTCTTCCTGCCTCGACAACATTCGTTGCTTCAAAATAAAGAAATATAATTAACAGTAAGGCAGCCCCCGGCTACTTAACATTTATACAGTAGTTAATAGCCAGGAGCCTTCCTGTATAACACAGGTCAGGAGTCACATGGATTACAGTTTCATGAGGTGACAGAGCCTTCTCTAGAAATGAAAAGTAGAGATGATCAAAACATAAAATTAAAGAAAAGTCATAGGCCTTTATAATGTAAATAGAGTTCTCTCCCCTCCCCTTAAAACTTAATTTCTATCACTATTTAATGCTTTTAAACTGCCACTGTGGAAAAAAATTCATTGGCTTCATGGAAGCTAACTATGTTAAATGTGCCATGTGTTTACTTATTTACTTTAATATGTATGCAAATATAATGCTTCGTTGGCTACTTAAATGGGTATCTCTCATTTATAACCTAAATTGAACACAAAGAGGTTGGATCCAAGGCAAAAAAAAAAAAAAAAAGCAGTATCTTCTTCTGTTTCATTTAGGAATATCTACAGGGAAGGCCCTGCTTCACAGACATGACTGACTACTGTGCAGAGTAGAAATAACGGAAGGGGGATATCTGCAAAGGCAAAAGGAGCTGAGGTGATACTCCCAAGTATTTACGTACAACGCTGACTTCTTAGTCGAGGTCAGCTGTGAAGGCTCAGGAAAAACGCGTCTCCAGGCTCTCCCATGAGCTAGAACTGGGGCAGATGTTGCAGGCTGTGCTCCTGCAACAGCTATGTGGAAAAGTGAAATGGTTGACTCTAGCTGACAACTGGGGTTATGTTTGAGGTTCATATCTGAGATTTCATTACTTCGTGCAAATGCACAGAAGATGAACAAGTGAGAAAAGTCTTTAAAGCCATCTCTGCCTTTTTCTTGGTGTACTACACTCTTGCACATGACAATCTGCGTAGAAAACTCTCTCTCTCTCTCTCTCTCGCCCCGTTGTATTATTCTGTGTGGGCCAAACTGTTCCTTTCTCATCTGGTGTACAGAGAAGACGACAACGAAAAACTCCACGACGTTTCACTGATTAAAGGAGAGAAATTAGCTGACTATGGAACTAATATTTTCTCTGCTACCATCCATCTATGGGCTGCCTCTCTTAAGATAAAATGAATCCTTCCGGTGCTTACTTGGGGGAAAAAAAAACATAAAAACGTTTGAACCAATCCACAATACTGAAAGACTGTCTACAGTCTTTTCTTATTACAACTAACAGCATGAAGTGAAACAAAACCATAACTAGAGAAAGCTCTTTCGGGGGATAAACTGACGGGTCTAGTTTGGCATTTTTCATAAACAGGGCTGATAAGTGTGTTACATATTTTTGTGATGATACTATTTGCTGATAACACTCATCATTTACACAATATTCACCTTTCACCCTCACCATAAATCTGCAAGGTAGGTGGGCAAATACTTTTTATCTTTACAGATCGGAAAACTGATATTACGGTTAAGTAACATACTCGAGGCCTCTCAATCAACAGCACAACTTAGTATGCAGGAGTTTCTACATCACCATGGTGGGCCGTGTTCACTAGGCCATGTGGTCTCTCAGATAAGATTCAGAAATACGAGTGGTATATTTCAAGGCATTCAAGACATATTTTTTGAATATGAATCAATGAATTAATAACACTTTTTCATTTACTGCTTCAGCATGCAACAATCAGGAAAAAGATGCTGGGGGTTTCGTGGCCTCAAAGCCACCTTCTTTGACCTGCTTGAGAATACAACAACTTTGCTTACGTGTCTCGGAGACAGGTTGGAAAGATTTACTGTAGGACAATTCCGATAAAGGACTGTTATGAATTCTTTTTTTCATGCAATGGCTCTTTTTTCCACATCATATATTAGTCCAAATATTTCCGCTACTAAAGCTGTCTGGTTTGTCCGGCAATAAGGATACAGCAGCTATCCTGCCATTTATACTGCAGGTACGGTGTAGATTACAACGATGGAGAAAGGACCTGACCAGAAACTCCATGCTGACGCATATGCACGCAGAAAGTCTGAGTTTCTTACCTGGGCTGTTTTTGCAGTTTGATCTGCATGATTTAAAGCTGTTCTGGCATCAGTGTCAGAATCAGCTTCGGCTTGCCTCAAAGCAGCACGCTTTTTCCTGGTCAGATCTGCATCATTATTATAGGAATATCCAAGTTTAGAAGTAGGAGATAAACTCGGCTTTTTGCCAGGCGAACCGAGATCTGCTTTTGAGCTCTCGGTGGATCCTGGATGTCCCAGCTTTTCTTGCTCTGAGAAACTAATGGTACTGTCTGAACTCTGGTGCCTTTTCTTGTCACCATCTTCACAAGCAACTGTGGGAGACGCATCCTCCTTTTGATCGCCGACATGTGGCAAGTCACTCAAGTCTAAAGTGTCAGCTTTCAGCAATTTCTTCCTTCCCAACACAGGCTGCGCTTGTGTTGGGTCCGCACTACCGCCTTTCCCAACCTCGTCCGACGCAGAAGTCCTTCCAGAGCTGTGCTGGGATTTTTGTGGATCTGTGTCACTCCGAGTCCTGCGAGAAGAAGGAGAGGATGTACTCGGGCTTAAATGATCATCTGGGGTCTGATGCTCACTCTCAGATTCTCCAACGCCGCTGTCATTTACAAATACGGAGTCATCCTGAGAAACCAAGTCCGCCAGCCCACTGTCTGGCTGCTGCAGTTCGGGCTCCCGGTTCAGGTCATTCAGCTCCGCGTAGAATTTTTCCTGATCAACAGAGCTGTTGGTGTCCGTTTCATAGTTACCCACTTTATATGTGCTTTTACTGCTGTTCTCCTCTATCTGAACCACGTTTAATTCTTGGCCGCAGAAATGAGCCCTTATTTGATAGAGATAGGTCATAACAGTCAGTTTGTCAGGTATCGCTAATAAAACCATGTCAGAAGGTTCCAGCAGTCGCGATATTCCTAAACTGGCAAACCCATCATACGCCTTTAAAAACAGACAAAAGAAAGATTACAACACAGTAGTTTTTTACATATCGTAAAAGATCACGAATGCAGGCAGAAGTTTTAGTAAAAATAAACAAACATAAGCACAGCCAACATTACAGACACAGGTACGGGCTTGGATCTGTTACTTCCTATTTTTTTGGTAACTACCAGTAGCATGACAACTACTATTTTTCGTTGCACAGCCCAATGTCTCTGGACTCACAGATGTCTCCTGATGAATTCTAGACATCTTCTAGGATATCTTCATAGGAATGCAAAGCAAGAGAATATGACCAGCAAAGACATGCAAATGGCACTGTTTTAAGCGTTTTTAACATACTACCATAGTATAATAAAATCTTTTGTTACTCAAAATAAAGCCACTTTCATGAGTAAAAAGATGTGCATGGCAGTGCAACCTAAAAACCCTTCTGTTTGCCTTAAGAAAACCTACTAATATCTTAAATGGTTCTCACTCAAGTAGCAGGAAACAAGCAAATAAAAAAGTGTAGGAGTTGGGACAAAAAAAAGCAACTAAGGATGGGTTTTTAAGATAAGGAACAAAGATATAAGAAACATGACACTAATCCATCTTGGGCTTTATCACTGGTGATCAACCTTCTCCTTTCTACTGGTCATGTAATTGCAGTGATTTGTGTTGATGAAAAAGTACGTCCAGATAGCCAAAAAGAACAATACCCTAGATTACTTGATACAAGACCAAAATCACACCATTTTAGCAAAAAAAAAAAACCAAAAAACAACATTTTTAAAACATCTGTTGGTGCTAAATTTATAGAAAAGGGAGAGTGAATTTAATTCTCACTTTACTTCTGTTTCTAAAAGCTAAACAGTTTGGAGGCCTCTCAGTCTGTGAGGCCACATTGCATTATTTCTGCTAGCCCTTTAAGAGAGTGGGCTTGGTGCATCAGGTTTTTCTAGTTTTGAAGAATTAAAGCTGTTTCTCAATTTACAATTAATTATTACTATCCTGGATTAACCCTGGAAGACAATATTGTGTTTCAAGGAAGCCTTTAAAAAGGCCTCCTGTTAGGTTTAAAGCACTCAGACTTCTCCTCCCCCAGTAATTTTGCATCTCCTTTTTAGCCTCTTCTGAAGGATTCTAAAATTTTAACAGTCATTCCTATAGTATTTTGAACAAAAACAACAAAAGGATGCTGACTTTAAAACACGGAAACGACCTGTTCTTTTACGCTGACTTCAACTCTATCCCAGTTTGACGCTATTTCTGCAATTTATATCGTTTCAGAAGGGTGGCAGAAAGAAAAGAGAAATTAATTATGGTTTTATATCTTCTTTGTTTTCAAAGCATTACATTTCGTAATAGTAAATCTTCAAGGTTTAGTTAGAATGGGGGTCTGGCTTGGTCTGCTCGCGGCAGGCCGGGTTATTTTAGTTGCTTTGAGAAAAGGAGGTGTTCTCATGCTCACTGCGATGCCCTAGAGCCACTCCAGAGCCACGGGCCAAAAAAGTTTTCCTTTAAGTCAGTTTTCAAACTCTACTTTCTGCCTGAGGTCTGACCGCTGAAATTTATCTTCCTGAAATTTTGTATGCTTCCCCTCGTGCTCAGGTATAACTTGTCAAAGCAATTCTGGTTAAGCAATTCTTATATCTATAGAACAAATAATTCAGAGAGCTTATCTATACATACTATCTATCTGAATAATTTATTTCTAAGCCCTTCTGGCTCTCTCTGTGCAAAATGATTTGGCCTAATAATCTTTTTTTTTCCTTTTTCTTTTTTTTTCTTTCTGGTCTTTGGTGGAGAAACATCTCTTGGAAAGGTCAATTATGAGAGATTTGTTATGGAAACAGCAGATTGCTATGCCATTTATAAAAGTGAAGCCGTGCTTACATATAGAAGCAGTAATGGGAGAAGATACGCATGGCATATTTGGTCATACAAGCTCCAGAATGAGCAGAATAGTAGGAAAACGAGTGGTGGGAGGAAAGAAAAAGAATTGGGATGGCTGAAGATGGACAGCCGTCATTTCGCTGCTCTTGGGACCGAGAGGGAAGAGCAGGACGAGCCTGGACGAAGAGGCGAGGAGGGCGAGGGGGTGGAAGCGGCAGCCCCGAGGAGCACAGAGCATGGAGAACGGACGGAGAGCAGTGGGGGGACCTGGGCGGGCAGCACAAGCCATGCTGGGCTGCGGGAGCGATGAGCAGGCACACGCCGGCAGAAGACAGCCAGGGTCTGAAAGCGTGGCAAGCTACCTGTGCTCTCCCCAGGACCAAGCACAACCCCAGGATTTGTTGTTGTACTGATTAAGTGGGTCAGGGCTGATTCAGTGGCATAAATAACCTGTTGCCCCACGCTGAAGGTAGTGGGAGTTACCACTTCAAGAATGAAAGGACCGAAGGATGGGCTTAGCAGTCCCAGGCAGCCAAAGCCCACAGACATGACTTGACCTGAACTCTTTTATATCCTTAATTTCTTATTTATATGCTAATAAAACTAAATCCGAGGAATGTATCCCAGGGTCTGTAAAATGAAGGTGGGGACAGTGTTTTAGAGTTGTTAGGAAAGGCACTTGCTTAGAGTAGGCAATACTAAAGCAGAAGAAATTAATTTGAAATGATGGATATTCTTGATACAGCTGCAATTACTTTTTACTGCCTGCTAAGTTCTTCTGGTGATGTTTGAGATTAAACACAGTAGTTTTCCAGGGATGCCTACTTCCTACCCCCTCTCCTTCTCATGGTGGACAATCTGCATTTTTGCTTATTTGTTTTTTTGCTTTTGAAGGACTCAAGACATCTAGCTGGGCATGCAGATATTTGCAATTTGGTCTGCACACATTCTGCAGTCACTAGCTCTGTAAACAGCAATCATATGCTCTGTACATGTCCATAGCGCAATACGTGGTGGCTTCTTCTTCACTGTTAGAAAAGCTGGAGGCACCTTGACTTTTCAGTATATTTATAAATGTCTAGTGTCTGTAAGTAGCACATAGTATTAATAGAGTATGTCATGATGCAGCATTTTCCAAGTCAAAGTACATTTTGTTAACCAGAGGCCTAAGCCTTGACTCTGCAAATGTTTACATGCACGTTTAACGCTGTGCTCCCGCGTGCTCCTACTGAGGTCAACAAGCAACACCGACACATACTAAATCTGTGCTTATGTCTTTCTGGACTCAACCAGTAGATGTGAACGTGAACTCCTGTTCTAAAAATATGGCTGCCAGCTTAAAGGCAAGAAGGTATTTCCATTTTTGCTCAATGCAACCCTTGCAGTTCTGAATTCCCCTCTTCAAATGTATATTCAACATGGATTCCTTCCTTATGAAATGGAATATTTTGTCAAGACAATAACTCGAGTACGAGTGTATTGAGGAATTTAATAGAAATGGTCCAAAATGGGAAAAAAAGCAAACAAAAGTGCCAATGTAACATCCAGGAGATAGACTACCATTTGCAAATGATAATCCTCTGAGCCAAAAAACCTTCTCCAAACAAAAAAAATTAAAAATGGAACATTACGGTTAGAGCCATATTGTTGTGCCCTTCCACTCTTGGCCTTTTCTCCCCTTCAAGTTTCAGCCAAGTGCAGCTTAGAAGCTTACATTTTCAAAATGCAGGACATATTATGGGTAATTTGAAAAACTCCTGGCCTTGCCTTGATAAGGGACTCAACTGCCTGTATGCTGTAATTTTAGTATGCTATTCATTATTATTTATTAACAATCTGATGTATGTAGTAAAAAAATGGGTGGGTTAATGTTATAAAGAAGGTTGGGTGAATAGTTAGCGCTATTTAAGAGATTTAAGTAGAACCACAATTCTTTGGACCAGCTGAGAATGTTTTTTTCGGAGATGGAATTATGCTGTGGAAATTACACGACATACATACCCACACGTAGGTACAGTGTATGTATATGCATCCAGAAGGACACTAGACAAATTTACCTATCTCCTGATGAAGTTTTTTTTTTTTTTCAATATCCTGACACGCTGATTGACAGACATCAATTGCAATCCGTCAGCACAAGCACCACAGGCAGTGCTCTCAACATTTCCCAATTATGTAACACACTGACATATTGGTCAAGATCGGATGTCACTGGTAAATAGCTTTTTTATTCAGCATCAGTGGCAGCCCCAATTTGGCAAATGACTAGCGGGCTTCATAAGGAAACTCTGAGGAGGTGCTTTTTGTAACAGCACATCTCCGCGTGTAATTATACACAGAAACGGCACTGAAATAGTTCTCTCTTAAGATTTCTTTTTTCTTTTTTCTTGGTGTTTTTTTTTTTTAATACAAGCAAGGCCACACATTTCTCAGAGATACATTCCCATGCGTTAACCTTTAATCTGTGGCCACTGTCACCTCTTACCTCCCTTCCTGGGAGGGGGAAAAAAAAGAGATGCTTCAGACAAAGAAAATTGTCCTATTCAGCCATAGATGTTAGTTTAATTGGTGAGGAGGAAGCGCTGTCAAAGGCGTTACATATCTGCATGGCATTGATAGGCAGCCGTCGCTCCCCGCGCTGCATTCGCTGCCATCAGGGGCACCCGGCGTTGTCGGGCAGAACTGTGTGAGACCAGGAAAGAAATCTGCAGGAAGCAACCAAGATCCTCGGTGTAGCTGGCAGGCAAAGGGTTGCAAAGCGATGAAAGAAAAAAGTGCGCAATCACAGCGATCCTTACTTCTCCCATACCGCGCTCTCAGAGACGGGCTGAAAAGTTGCCGCTGCGCCTCACCATTTGCCGGCACAGTTTCATAAGTAAAAGAGCACCGATTTTCCAGTTAGCGCTTTTAATTAACAATCTATTCGTTCCTTTTTTTTTTTTTTTTTTATAATCCTGGTTAATTAGCGGGCACAACCAAGGAAACGTGAAGTTCAAAAACACATGGGCACAGACACCCCGGTGATGTCACAGGGAATCCACTTTGGGCACCGTAACACCCTGCTTTATTATGAAAAAGATATCATCATTCGAACCACTGATTAGATAACGCCAGTTCAGAGATACTTCATTATTTATAGTGCTTAAGTGCTGTTTTAATGGTGAGTTACTTCCTGGCTAATACTTAAGTGTTCAGGCGCATTAGAGTATAATTACCCTAAACACAAACTAATTTTAACAAAGTACTTCCAAAAATTCCTCGTATCTACAATCCATCATCCCCTAGTTATACCTGCTATATAATAATGAATGTAATTAGTTTATACAAAATATATTTTTATACTTTTAACCCAATTCCTTAAATTCAGTATTTTTAAAGTAGGGTAAAAATAAAATGACAGCATCAAGGAGAAAGCTCCTTAAAACCAATTTTCAGATGATTTTCAGGAATGATTTTCTTATCAGTGACTTGCGTGAAAATTATCATTTCTAAACACGTCCCCAGGGCCAAACGCAGGCATGTAAGCATCCCAAAGCTTGTAACGTGCCTAAAACAGCGAGCAGAAATAAAAAGTCTTCTGGTGAGTCCCAGACTGAGTCCATGCTCCTTTGCAGAGCAACTTTTTGCATCTTTGGACCACAGAGGTATTCAAACATACCATTCAAAAGTGGCTTAAAACAGCTGCCCAGCGCAACACAACAAGCTATTTTGCTAATATTTCGGTTTATTTTCAACGCTTTTCATGCTAAGTTTTTCACATAGCGTAAAAATTCAGGTTTTACACCTACCACTTCACCTGATTATACACAATAAAACTTGATGTAAAATACCACCTTTAAGACTAGCCAAATTACAATCAGAGCAACACTGACTGCGATCAGTGCAAGGAGCCCTTCTCAGAGCAACGGAGAGAGGAGTCTGATGCGAGGCAACCCCAGAGCAGCCACACTCTTGATTTTCCTTTTTTATTAAGTGTCTGATTGGAAAAATAAGAGAAGCGATCACAAAGTATTACCCAGCCCTTCTCTCTCTCCTCACGGTTAATGTAGGCCACACAAATATTAAACTCCAATGCCAGCCTCGCACTTGTTGTGAGTGTTAAAGACCACGACAAACTGGAGTCAATAACGCACCCGACTGGAGCCACGGGAGGCTGAATGCCTTCTGTGAGCTGCAGTTACGACCTTACAAAACCACCCCACTTTCCCAAAATTAATAAAAACCTGCAGTGAAGCCAAAATTGAAGCTATGCCTTTTTTCCTGGCAGTCCTTACCTTTTTGTTGTTCTCTTTAATATCTTGAGGATTCAGGGCCTTGTAGTCACTGAGGGGGAAAATGGCACAGTGGGTATGTACAGTATTTGATAAAAGCCGCAGTTTTAAAACAAACTGAATCTAAAAATTCGACATACAATGATATCATACAGTAACTAGCAATTTCACAGCAATTCAATCAACAAAACTAATAGTGTGGAAAATTAAAGGAATAAATAAATAAATAAACAAACACACACCGATTACATGTTTTGTTGCCCGAAGCTTTCCATCTAAAAGCGAAGTTAAGGCAGGGACTAGAGGCCGGCCTTGACAACCAAATTTACCATGAGGTAATCCGTCCTTGTCAGTGTACAAAGAGCTACAGGCTGATTTCTCTCATCTCATTTCAACACTAGCACAATTTTCATAATCATCCTGAAGTCAGGTCTTTGTATAAGATTAAGAAGAAGAAAAATCAAATCGTGTAGCGGGGGGAAACAATCGGTTATGCAGCAAGGGAGAGCAAAGAGCTCCGGAAGTTTGAGCATTCATAAATCTGTTTTCTTAGAAAGGACGGTTCCTGCTTTAAAAGAAAAGGCTGAAACACGTTTGACACCTGAAATGAATGAACAGTGATTTGATTTTTATGCAAACTTAAGCTGTTACATTTTTCTGCGAGACTTAGCGTACACAGGCAGAAAGTATACCACTTACATGAGATCTGGTCTAAAGTGATGCAATATCGCACAAAAGGATAAACCGTTTCTCCACGATGTAGTAAAATTGGTGATTTTCACTCCCCTATAGTTTTTTGTAACTTCTTTGCACCACACGAGCAGTGACTGACTAGCATTTGGCTTTCTCCCCAAAACAGGACTCGGTATTGGGCTTGGCTGCAAAAAAGGAAAAAAAAAAAAAAAAAGAAGGGAGAGAAGATAAAAGAATTTAATGGAAGACGAGAATTAACGTTAATTGACCTAACTAGATGATCGGTATCCTTTGATGTGAGTCTAGGTCCTTCCCAGATGTCAGTTTACAACGACTGTAACTTGCAAAAGACACAGAGCGAGCGCAAGTTATTATCTCGGGTCTTTGCCCTCGGCGCTTGTCCCCGAAGGATGCAGCTACGCAGGATTGCACATCTATGTACCGCAGCAGGCCAAGAACGGGACGCGGCCGCCCCAAACGCTGAAACGCTTCAGGCATCCTCCTGCCCGGCCGGCGATACGCGCCCTCCAAAAGATTCCCCAAAACGCAGGCACGTAGAAGCAGCCCCACAAGCCCTTTCGCTTTTAATGAAGATAACGTTCAGCCGGCACCAAAAGCAAGGCATCTCAGGGTCAGAGTTTACCGCAGGTTGGGAGCCACTCTTGCAGCGTGAAGATCAAAGTCGCTGCGTGTGTGACATACGATGAATGCATGAACCTGGTATATGCTCAAGTGCACGTTTTCCAGCTCTGC